AAATGTAAAAGTATGATATTTTTTAGAATTAACGTATCGGCGTGGCGTGTCCCGTGTCCGTGCATCATAGTTTAGGAAGTGAGAGAGGGGGGGGGGGGGGGGTTAATTTTGTTTGAAAAAGCTTGAAAAATTTTCCCACCCATGAGATACCAAAAATACTATATTTTAAGTGGTGTTTTGATTTAAAAAATACACATGAAACCAAATCCTAAGATTTAAACTTCCTCGGAATAATTTCATTTTAGTACATACCAAACGATGCATTCTTATTTATCCAACCAAGAAATACCAGAAAAACAAAAATATTCCAACTACAAAACGGGCCCTTATCACTCTCTTTCTTTCTCGGGATAATTCAATTAGCACCGATCCGGCAGATTATGAGGAAAATTGAATTCATGACCAGAAAAGATAGGCCCCAAATTTAATTGCATTGTGCCATTATTTGAATCTATATAACTCCTTCACCTTACCTGTGTTCATGACGCAGTAGACTTTATACACAAGGGAGAGTGAAAAGACCACCTATAGCGTCATGGCTAAAATTGTGTGTGCATTTCTTCTCTTTCTTGCCATGCCTTTTGTTATCCAAGTTACCTATGTGAGTGAATCTTTCTCTCCCTCTGTTCCACTACAAATACACTCTACACCTATGCATCATGTTACTTACCAAAAAAAAAAAATGTGTACATATTATTTGTTTTTCCCTTGAATTCATTTTGACTTCTAATTTTTTTTCTCCTATTCTTTTAAATAAAAAAATTACAGGCTGGTGGAGAAGGATCACTTCGTCCCCAAGGTACTAATTCTAGCTAATATTTCTGAAAATCAGTATTTTTTTTAATTAATTAAATTTAGTTATGATGTTGACAACTCAAATCTTGGCTTCATTCAGATTGCCCCAATGCATGCGATTTTCGTTGTTCAGAGACTCATTACAGGAAGGCGTGTCTGTACTATTGTAACTATTGTTGTGCGAGATGTTTGTGTGTGCCATCAGGAACTTATGGTCACAAGGAAGAATGTCCATGCTATAACAACATGAAAACCAAGAAAGGAGGCCCCAAGTGCCCCTAATTGATGGTCTATTGCTCTGCTTCTTATGAATAAAGTTTATATCATTATAGTGAAGTTAATTTCTATGCTTCAGTTCACAAGACATTAGCATTCTCCTAGTTGGCTCAAATAAATGTTTCCGCTTGTCTCATTTTAAACGTTTATCTTCTTCTTCTTTTTTATTTTCAAAATATTCTTTATCAGCAATACCCCACAAATTTATTCATCAGAAGACATGAATGTCCGATAAAATATATCAATTAAATATTAAAAAAAATTCATACATTACAAATAATTGCCAATTCCTAAGTGTTTCTACAACAATTAGCAGAGTGAGGAATGGGGATATCACAAGAAAAGGATATTTTATCATAAAGAATCATAAAAAAAAAACTCAGCAACCACAGTTTTATTTCCAAATTTGATACATATGAATTTGATGTGAGTGTACAAAAAAAATATTAAAAAATTTAAAAAAATCCTGAGTAGAAGTAAAAATATTAAGTGTCTCTTTGGATCCTCTCTTTTTTAAGCTAAAAGCTACTTATAAGTTAAAGCTAAAAAAAAAGAGCTTAAAAAATGAAGCTAAAAGCTGTTTGGTAATCACATAAAAGTTTTAGCTTAAAAGTTAATTAAAAGCACATATTTCAAGAAATTTATCTTTCTCTATCTTTATAACTCTTTATTTAAAAAAAAAGCACACAATTTAAGGAAAACATATAAGAGCTTAAAAAAAGCTCCTCCTAGGAACTTTTAATTTTCAACTTTTTTCTTCATTATAAAAAAAGAGCTTTTTTCAAAACATGTTTGGCCTAGCTTATGCTTATAAGTAGTTTCTAACTTAAAAAAGAGAGGATCCAAACATGCACTAACTCGTACAGAAGGAATCGAACATTAAAAATATTAACTCATGATGTCAAACATTAAATGCTGTATTAATGAATAATTATTATAAGCTCTTTATTACTCTAGTTTCATCACAGAGAATAAATTTTCTGTAGCTGACTTATTTTATAAGTGGAGTCCACAAAATAGTAAAGAGATGAAATAATTTAAGGCGGGGCTCATCAAATACTGTGTCTGCCGGAATGACCAACTTTCTGCAGTGAAAGAAGAAAATAATTTTCCTTATTATAATGTAAAATATACTTTTAATTGTTATTGGAGGCTTTGCCAGTAAATAAATTATTTTTTAGAGGTTTAAAATTAGAGATAAGTTATTCTATCTATTTTTTTTTTGCCTATTTTTATTTATCGCTTTTTAACACTATTAAATCAGAATCTCAATATGAAAGAAAAATAATAAAAGTAATTGAGATTCTGATATAATAATATTAAAGAGTGGTAAGCAAAAAAAATAAGTAAATAGAATAACATATACCTTAAAATTATATGGATACTTTGAAAGTAGTTTTTCATTTAAGTACTAACAAACTATGATGCACGGACACAGACATGGGACACGACACGACACGCCGACACGTTAATTCTAAAAAATATCATATTTGGACACGTTGGGACACGTTTTGATATTAAATAAATTTTTTAATATATATAATATAATTTATATTTAATACATATAAGAGTCTATAATAAGTCATATAACCAATCAAATATTTAAATTTCATAACATAAATATAAATATAAATAATTTTTCGTACTTTGTTAATTTTTCATGTCAAATTTCATAACAGAAAAAAATTAATTTATAAATTATTTCTTTTATATTTAGTTAACAAAATAAAATTAAGATTTTTTTTTTAAAAAAAAAAACGTGTCCTAGCATTGACCGCGTGTCGAAAAAACATGTCGGAACGTGTCAGAGAGTTGACCGCGTGTCCTCAAATATTGACCGCGTGTCCGTGTGAGACACGTGTCCGACACACAAATTTTCCTTAGATGAGCGTGTCGTGCTTTATTGCTAACAAACTTGTAATTCTAAAATTTTTATAATAAATAAATCAATACTCGTACAATGGTAAATTTATATAAAGTTATTTTTCTTCAAATAAAACATTCCAGTCTAAATTTTGTTCAAACCGGCCTACATAGGCATAGTAGGCAGGGTTGGGCATCTAAAGATCCAATAGAGGCCCTGCTCCGTAATGTCCACAGGTGAGTATATGGTTTTATCACATGGAATCCCCTTCTAGTTGCACGATTCGAAACAGTGATCAAAACGTCACTCTTTATTAAGTTTTTTATCTAAATGCTATGTGAATAGTGTTATTTTTCAATATGTCATGTGGACAAGTTTGCTGGACACTATAACGAACTCAATTTGCTAACGTGTCACATTTTTAGTGGACACCAAGTTCGCTACACGGAATAGCGAACTTAGTTTCAATGCATATTCCAACTAAGTTCGTTATCCAATGTAGCCAACTTGGTAATTTTTTTTTAACTTGGTACTTGTTATCCATTAGAAATGTGACACGTCAGCAAACTGAGTTCTCTACAGTGCCAGCAAACGAATAAATTTTTGGTGCTACTGTTGCACCAAGATTCAGTGCATCCCACTAATAGAAGCATTACACATCATAGGAGAGAGAAAAAATTTGGCAGAGAAAAGAAAACTTTAACTAACATGTAATATTTCTATTGGTGGGATGTACTGAATCTTTGGTGCAACAGTAGTACCAAAGATTTATTCCCAGCAAACTTGTCCACGTGGCATATTGAGAAATAACACTGTTCGCGTGATATTTGGATAAAAAACTTGATGAAAAATGACATTTTGATCGGTGTTTGCACAATTCAATATTGTACACCACGATAATGCCTCACCTCCAATAGTGAATGCATGGGCTAACAATTTTGGCTCATCTTTTCTTTCTCATCATCAATTAGGGAACCCCTTCTTCTTCAGCAAATGAGGCTTTTGATATCTAATATTCTTGTGAGCTGTTACTATACTGGACTTTAAAGTCACTATATCCTATACACATCGCCCACTCGTAGCCATCTTTGCAACCTTGAGCTTTGATTTGTATCAGTATCTCTTTGAGCACCCGCATATAAATATACTTCATCCTTTGAATGATACAAATCTAGCTCTTGATCCCTAACAGTTCAATTTTTTTTTTGAAAAAAATGACAAGCTATAAGCTATTCTTGAAACTTGTATGGTGTAATTTTTTTAAAAAAAATATTCAAAATAATAATAATAATATCATTTTACCAAAAGCCTTCTAATTTCAATAATTAGGAGTTTGATAGTTTAGGGTGTGGATAACAAGGATTATGCTCTCTTACATGTATTTAATTATGATAACATATTTTATATTATTTGTATTTAATAAATATTGTGTCGAATAATAAAAAATATTTTTTATTTCTATCAAGTTATGTTTTTGGGCCACCGGTTAATTTTCTGGAAAAAAAAGAATCAATTTTATCAAAGATGATTTATAATCATTTATATTACCCATAATTAACATAATATTTTTGGGAACGTTATACACCTTAATCACATGGCATTTTTAATGTTGAAATCAAATACAGTCAATAGAACTGATTTTTTGTCAAGTATTTTTAAAATTACGTATAGGATACTTATCTGAATTTTAAAATAATGATATAGTCATATAATTATTTTTTCGGTTCATATTGAATGATTATAAATTAAGAACCTCAAACGTGAATGTAAAATGATATTAAAATTGAGGAGAGATATACTTACAACTTAATATTTTTATAATTTCTTACCATCAAATATTAATAAATTATAATTATAATTAATAATTATTAATAAATATGACCTAATAAATTATAATTATAAAATTGGTAAAAAAAAAAAATTAAAATTTGATAATAAGAAATCGTAAATCTTTTAGATTGTATCTAATCACTAAAATAATAAAAGGATATTTTGTGTTTTAATAGTACTAGTAATAGTAGAAAACTAGAAGTGCTGCAGTAGCACAACAGGTAGAACTGGTAGAAGAAAGAAAGGGTTTAGTTTTTGGAAATTGCAATACCTTCTTTCCCATTTCTTTCAAATAAAGCGTTGCGAACTTGCATATGGCCTATACAATTCCATACAATTCTGATTTCAGATTCATCTGTGCCTGCTTAATCAGATAGACAGGTTCGCTTTTCGTTCTTCAATTCCTTTTGTTTAGGTCACTCTCATCCTTTTCATTTTATTTTATTTTTTTAATTTGGGGTTTATGCCTGTTCTGCTATTTACTCTTTCCAATTTATGCTGCTTGCAATTTACATTCGTATGGGGTGTTTTATTATTATTATTATTATTATTATTATAATTATAATTTTACTGATTCCAACAGCAACATACGCATCTTCATTCTTCATTTCATGTAATTGCTGAAGACAAACAGCAAATTACACTGTTTCCCGTTCTGCATAAATGCTAAATTTATTTGGATGTTTAATTTCATTTAGTAATAATGTGGAGGAATCTAGGTTCAGGTCAAACATCCGCATGAACTAATTCGCTGGTAGGGTATCGCAGAAAGTTTAACTGAAATATATAGTTGAAAGCCTTGGAATTACAAGGAAGCAAGCTGTGAGAATTTCAATGAGATGGTTTCAGATAACAGTCTTCAATGCTAAGTTCTAATCAAGATCTGAAACATTTGCGTATAATAAAGGAATGTAAACACTTTCTAATTCTTAACTAACTGCTCTCAACACAATCTAGGCATTAAGCTTCAAATATCTCCTTATGACATTCTACATTGGGGAATATATACTCTTCTGTGATGCAAGTTATATAATGAAAGCATTTTAGTATATATTAACTGATGATGACAAAATAATATGTTATTTGCAGATTTAATCCACTCTAGCCACTAAAGTTTTATCATGATTGTCTCATATGGGCAAAGGGACCGCATAAGAGAATGACGGCAGAGTTTGATTCAAAGTCTGCTGCTGAACCTCACAAGATGTCTGGAGCTTCATCTGCAGCACCTACTAGTGGTCAAAAGCTCTCTATATTTGCTGCCAAATCTGGATTTGTCATCCCTAAAAACAAATTATCAGGGTCTTTGGTCCCCATTTTCCGAGGAGCCAAAAAACATGGGGTCACAGGAGCCATCAATGAAGAAAGTTCAAAACAAAATGAAAGGGGATCAAAATGGGGACCTGATCTGACACAGGATGCGGCTGTCCGGAGGGGAAAGGCTTTAGCTTTGCAGGTGTTTTCAGGAATCCTTTCAAACAATACTCCGTTATCATTTCTACTGTTATATACTTTTTGTTTTCTTATTATTCTATCATCATTTCCTTGAAAATATTCAATTAGAAGCTATTGCAATTCCCTTATAAGTTTGATGCTATTGTGTGTGCATCTGTGTGACTAATTTGCATAGGTTCTTGTTTCCAAGGTGTCAATAAGTGATACTGTTGTTTATGTTGTTGCACACATTTCATAGATTCGAGTTGATCAAATCACAAAGCAGTTGGAATCAGAAGTATTGGAGGTTGAAAGCACTCAGAACTTGCCATTAGTGGCTGAGCATCCAGATCAAAGCATGTCTGACCCTCAAAGTAACAGCAAGGTTAATAGCAATCTTTCTTTTACTATTTATTACTTGTTAGCTTTTTGAACGCTGTGTATTTATTCTTAAGTAAACTACTGATGTTAATTCATGGATCTAAGAAGTCAGAAATGCTGGAACTTGAAAAGCGGGAAGCGATAGGTTCGTTTTCCTTGAAGTATATCTTTTTTTTTAATTCCTTCCCTTTATTCTTATAGGTTTCTTATTCCATAATAATCTTTTGATCTTAATCATATCCAGGTGAAATACTAAAATTAGATCCCAGTTACAAGCCTCCACCTGGTTTTAAACCGTTGTTAAAAGAGGCCAATGTTCTTTTGCCTGTAAGTATTGATTATAAATTTCTGCTAGAGCTAATTCTTTACCATTTAAATTCTGTTGTTAACCTGTTATATTTATGAAGAATAAATATACATTTCCTGGATTTAGAGTTCGGCATCATTTTTTGTGCATCTAGCATGTTTTGTACAATTTCCTTCCTGTTATTGATGAATAGTGATATATTTAGTATTTTTGTGCCTTGTCAATGCCATATTATCATTTCTGATTGCTTGGCAGAGTAAAAATGCAAAAGGAGCTAACCTAACTTCAGCATTCCTTAGTTGTAATTTAATTTGAAGAATGATCTGTTATAGCTTTTCAAAAAATGAAATATCTTCAATTTATCCAAACCTTAAGTTCTGGAATACAATGAAAACTCTTACATGCAATGCAATCATTACAGGTCCAAGAATATCCTGGATACAATTTTATTGGTCTAATATATGGGCTTGAAGGTGATAACCAAAAGCGACTAGAAAAGGTAAGAGTGTTGTGTTGGCATCTAATCTTCGTCTGGTGATCTGCAGTCAGCAAGCTTTATATGCTGATAGAAATCACTAAAGTTAGTTCTCTGTTCATCAGGAAACTGGTGCCAAGATAAAAATTCATGGAACCAAAGCAGACACTGGAGAAAAAGTAAGTTCCTTGATAATATTATGTGACTTTTATTTTGCATGAATCACTTCGAAATACTTTAACTTGATTTTGTCAGGAAAACACCATAATTGTTTGAATTTGCTTTCTATTTTCTGTTCGTTTAACTTTTCTTCTTCAGGGTGAAATTAAACCAGGAACTGATATCCAGTGCAGTTACAAAGAGATGCATGTTAACATATCAGCTGATAGTTTTGATAAAGTGGATGCAGCAGTGTCTATCATTGAACTACTAATGACCTCTGTAATTGTGAGTTTTGTCATTTATGCAATGTAACAAGCTTTATGATTTACGGCTAGCTCAGTTATGTTGTATCACCTGTTTTTATTTATTTATTTACTGATTTTATAATGATGTTATTGTTGTTCCTTCTGTTATTTTGATTGTTCGTGTAACTATTGCTGTCTGCTATCCAGGGGAATTTAGCTTCTGGTTCCACACCCTCTGAATCAGTTTCTAGAGATTGCACTAATGTTCTGAGTCAAAGTCAAGATGGACCCCCTTCTCATGCAATGTCTCTATCTCTGGAAAACCAGACTGTGTTGCAACCAGTAGCTGTTACACAAATACATGGAAATCACTTTCAATACTCTGGTCCATGGTTTTCAGGGGTTCCATCTCATACCCCAGTATTTGCTTCTTCTGGCAGTATGGCCCCTCCAAATCCACCAGGTCTTGCTAGAACTCCTCATTTTCCATCACAAATAATGAATCCTTCAAACATGACTTCAACTTTTGGTGCTCAACATGTACCTGTTACTGGATTCCACCCGGCTTTTCCAAATCACCATGTTCCTATGCAAGCACCACCACCAAGACAGATTTTACAGCATTCGCGTATGACTCAGGCAAGTCATTTCGGTCACATTGGGCCACCAAGAAATCCTTCTATAATATCTGTACAGAATTTGGCAGCTCCAAAAAATGCTTCACTTCCATTTCCTGTGTCTTCGATGTCTCAACCTATATCTGGTATGTCACCAGCACAAATACCGAACCAGCCATTGACACCTCTTGGGGTCTCTTTGGAACAGAGTGGAGCACCTGTCACTGTTTCTGTAGGTCTCAGCAATAAGGGGCTGATGGCTCCACCGGCAGCTCGACCTCGCAGACCTGTTTCTCTACACCCACAACCGGACGTTGCATTTAAGCCACCACAGCCAAATATGTCAATGATGCCACGATCTGCCACTTTTCCTCCACATCAAGCAGGAATTTCCGCTGGACTGCCATCTTCTTTGGGACCAATGTCTTTACCAATACCTGCACCTACTCATTCATCTGCAAACCATTTATCGGGACCTCCTTCATTTCCTTCGCCTGGAATATCCCCTTCATTTCCATTACCTCAGCAATCAGGAATACCTAATTCTGCTTCTGGTGCTACTCCTTATCACGCCAACGTAAAACCACCAGTCTTGATGACTTCAAATTCTGGAAATTTTACTTTTCAATCACAGCAGCCCAATAATCAAGTGGTTTCTAGACCAAACAATCAAGCTACTATTCAAGGTGGTCAACAAGAGCCACCTTCTGGTCCACGGCCACAACCACCATTTGGGTTTGCTGTGCCTGATCAGGCTCTTCAAACCTTTCCGAGGACACAAGTTCCCAACCAGGTGGATCTAACCCAAGCTCATGTATCTGCTGTTCCCTTTGTGGGAAGATTAGGTTCCGTCTCAGTTCCACCCAGACACACTGCATTTCCATATGCTGGTCAACCTGCTCCTAGGTCTCAAGTACCACAAATGGGTATGAAGAACTTCATTTCTGCCCCTCAACTGCCAAACTTGCCCGGTCCTGGGATCCAAAGAGGCATGCACATTCGACAAAGCTATCCTGCTCAGAGGGCATGGTCAGATATCTCAATGCCTCTGAATCAGAAGTTTGGCAACAATCACTCCATGGCTTCTGTTAAGCCAGCATATCCTGCGGACCAAATCTATGATCCCTTTTCACCCACTTCTGTTGCACCTCCACAACAGAAAGGTAATCCTGGAAAATGAGGGAGTTGGATATGGCTACAGATCGTAATACTGACGAAGTAAAAAGTTACGACTGCAGTTTGTGGAGACATACTAATTTCATAGATTAAAATCATGTAATTTCTAACCAGAAAGTTTGGTTGGCTCCCTGTGATGACTGATTGTATTACTTTTTTATTTAATGTTTCTTTTCTGAATGCCCATTACGGATGCTTGATCAGGAATTGAGTTTTATGAACTTTGCTGGAATATAATTATTTCTCCATTTTACGGAAACCACATATTCATTTGAATTTTTCACACCAATTATGCTGCATTTGATTGGTACTGTTTCGGTATCTGCTGTGTTATACATCTTTTGTTAACAATATCTAACTTTTCTTTATATCAAAATAGTAATAAGGATGATGATAATAATAACAACAACTTATTTGATTTGGACCCTTGCTTAGGATCCTGGCGTCTAAACATGTAGTTTAAAAATTCTTGTATGCATACCATTCATGTTGATTGATAATTTGGAGGCTGGTTGGTTGTTGCCTTTGGAAGAAGTGCAATTTTGTTAAAAGGTGCACTTATGACAACTTTCATTATTCTCTCCTTACAATTACTTTTGGCATCTACGCCTTCACAGTAAATTTTGTTCACTTCGAACGTCATTACTTCATTTTTATTTTTTTTATGAAGCTTTTATTTTTTAAGCTTTTCCAGAATAAATAAATTAAAGCTATTTCGAGAGAGTAGTAAACTAAACATTTTGATCTGCCCCGGAGACAAGTCAATGCACCGCAGTACATTCGAAATTTCCTTACAGAGGAGGCAACAAAACACAATGTTAATTATTATTTAATTCAAGTTGAGTAAGTTTGAATTATTTTCGAGTCTTTATGTTTTGTTCGTATAAAGTGTTGGAAGCATCTGGGTACAAATGAGATATAAGTAGCTTGATAACAATAGCAAATCCCTAAGGTCGTGGATAATATGAATAGAACTATAAGGGGGTGTTTGGTTCAAGTTTTTAGAGAGGATTACCGGTAATCCTTCTTTGGTAAATGTAATTACCACGTTTGGTAGAAGGAATAAATTACGATTCCCGGATATCCAAGGATTACCGGTAATTTGATTTATAAAGAAAAGTCACTATTCAGATTACCAAAAATAATATGGTAATTCGGAATACCAATCAGAATACCAAGTAAAGGGAAAGCACAACAATAAATTTTGAGACAAAAATACTCCAATACACATAAAAATCTAGACCCAATCTATCAATTACAAAAGTAAAAATAGTTTGGGGTTATTTTTGTAAAATAACCTCATATTCCAAGTCATATTTCGTTCTAAACAAAATATGGAATCAGTAATTTTTATCCAATATTCCCGGTAATATTTTGGCGAACCAAACACATCTTTCGTAAGATTCCAAATAAACTCAATTTCTACTAAATTCCCATTAATCATGATTCCCGGTCACCAAAAAATTTCTCTTGTACCAAACACACCCTAAATGATGTACTCCTTCAAGTTTTTCTTGTTTGCTATTTTCTAGTCAAAGAAGAAAATCAACCCTAAAGTCCCAACTTCCAAATTAAAATAGTAATGTTTTCATATGCACCATCAGAGACAGTTTTTCTGTGGGTCCAACTTAACGATAATCAAATGATGCCGGTAATCACGGACAGATCCAAAATAATCACGGGTTAGCCAAAATAAAATACTATCAATTTGTCACGGGTTCATGTTGTATGTGTTCTAATAAAAATAAAAAGCATATTTATTCCTTGTTATCCAACTGTTATATATCAGAAATTCATAACCCAAACTTATATAGAAGAAGTTCTTAATTATCTTGAAAATCGACAATCACACAAATTGGAAAAGAGAAAGAGAGAGAATAGACACAGAGATTTATCCTGGTTCACTCAATTTAAGCTATGTCCAGCTTGTCTGTATTATATTCATCTCAACACTACTCATTACAAGTCACTTGATTTACAAACAAAATATAAATAGGATTAGAAAACCCTAACAATAGTTATTCATGGGCCTAAGCCCAAATAGCTAAGAAAATTACAATAAATCAGAGGTCCACAAAGTAACATGGAAGTATAAGTCATACCCAACAAATTATATTTTCCTTTCTGCTGACCCGGACAACTAAAGTCATCATCAAGATGCGAAGTGTAAGTCATACCCAACAAATGAGCAGTGGAGAAATTATAATTTTTTTAATATCTATTTTTAAGGGTATATCAAAAGTGAGAGTAGAGTTTAAAATAGGGAATAGCCGTCTAGAGACAAAAATTCGTTCACATGTGATAGCTAGGGAAAGACCCCACCACACTATGACTTGTAAGAAAACAGAGTAAAGTCACAACTCACAAGCAAAGCAAAGCATAGCATAAAAGAGAGAGAGAGAGAGAGAGAGAGAAAGAGTGGCATTCCTACTAATACTAATACTAATACTACTGTTTGTTCAATCAGACACCATTCTGAAGTGTTTTTTTCTCTCCTCCTTTCTCCTTTCTCCTTTCTCCAATGGTTTCGAAAAGGGTGAATGATCTAGCGTTCTCCTCTACCATAGTGCTACTATTGGTTGGTTTTGCAAGCTCAGATTTAGCCACAGACAGAGAAGAATGTGCTGACAAACTAGTTGGGTTAGCTAGCTGTCTTCCTTACGTTGGTGGTGAATCCAATAACCCAACCATAGACTGTTGCAGTGGCCTTAAAGTGGTGCTTGATAATAGCAAGAAATGCATCTGCATCCTCATCAAAGATCGTGATGACCCCAACCTTGGCTTCAAGATCAATGCCACTCTCGCTGTCCAATTACCATCCGCTTGCCATTCACCTGTTAATATAACTAAGTGTGTTGGTAAGTACTAATTACTATCTATCTATCCAGTAAATTGTGCAATGAATGTAGGTACATCCTCACCAAAAAAGGGAAAATATAGAGATATGAAAGGAAATAACTACAAAGAATGTTACTTTTTTCATATTTGATAAAGTATGTGCCGATCACTCGGTACATTTGTAATACTGAAAATATTTTCCTATCTATTAGTTTTGTTTGCTTTATCAATTCAATGAGCTGTTTATTGTGTTTTGTTGTTTCAGATCTTTTGCATTTGGCACCTAACTCTCCTGAAGCAAAGGTGTTTGAGGGATTTGAAAAATCCACCAAAACAAACAGTTCCACCCCAGTTTCTAGTGGTACTTATTATTATTATTGTTGTTGTTGTGTTTCTTATGGATCCTCTGTTGTTGTTTTTGAAAGTTGAAACTAAAAAAGTGGAGCTAATAATGCTACAGGTGGTCCTGGGAAGGGATCAAGCACAAGTGCTCAGGAAAAGAGCGATGGTGGATTAGGAAAGAGGTGGCTGGTTGCACAAGTGATTTGTGGTATTTTATCATTTCTTTTCATTTCCCATTTCTTCTTCCTGGTTTGAAATCTAAAAGTTTTAACTTTTAACCATATATATAATGGTTGGTGTGTCTATCTGATTCTCATTACTCATTAGTCATATCTATTTCTCAGTTTTGTATGTTTCCCAATTCCTATATTTTGTGCAAAACTAAAATGAAATTTTTCTATTATTAGTAATTAGTAGTTAACAATTCTTGTTGTTACGTGTCGAGCTACTTTCTTGTGTTTTTCTTTGTAGCTCCGTAATCTGTATAATTATCCATTTAAGGGAACCGCTATTATTATACTCTATGGTTGGTATCACTCTGCACAAAATTGGAGTTCCTCTTTACATCTGGTAAGTTGATGTTTAGAGAGTTACAAAAACATTAAGGAAACACCAATTGATGATAGATTACATTACAAATTCACATTTGCATCGATTTCAATCGTTAATTTAAAACAAAAATGAATTAATTCCCGAACAAACAAAATGTAAGGCCTGTATTGAAATGGCTTCACTTCTCTATGAAATTCGTTAAAGACTAAAAGCCTGCATTTGCGGGACAAACTATTTTTCTTATCTTGGGATTTGTATGAATGATAAACAGAATGAACAAGGGTCTATTTCTAGGAGACTAGGAGACTAGATACCTTATATGGGATTACGCAAGATAGTGTAAAAAATATTACACCATTGATTTTTTATCACCAGACAGTGTGATTTGTTTTGACCTCCTTCTTTTTTTCTTAATTTGGGTTCAATGACTTATTGCCACTAAGTATATCGATCATTGCATATATATATTTTTTAAATTTCGGAAAAATTTAAAATATACATTAAATAGTAAAATTATTCAAGAAAAAATATTTAAAATTATAAGAGAAACATAGATAATTAATTTAATAAAATTTAAAATTAAATAAAAAATAAAAAATTATGCATAATTAATTAAAAAGTTTAATTTTTTAAAACTTAAAATAGCATGTTATTTCCTTTTTTTTATTCTTGAATGTTCCTCTCTTGGTCAATATTTGTGCCTTTTGCCTCTTCCAGCAGTCCACCGTCACAAATGCTTTAACTAGTGTTTGGTTGAAGGTTTATTTTGGGATTGATGGGAAAGTGTAAGTGGATATTAAAAAATATCACGTTTAGTTCAGGTTTTTTCAAAAAATACTAGGCAAATAGGATAGATGGGGAAAAGACTTTTGTGTTGATTTTTGAATAAAATTCACTGTTACAGAATACCACTTAAGATGTGGTATTTTGAGATAACTGGAAAGTGAAAAAACAGGTGCGAAGTTTCTCCCGAACATAGATTTTGCAAATTTAAATAAATTTTTCTGGTAATATTTCGGTCAACCAAACAACTTTTTTTATATTTCCCTACCAAACTCACTTTCAAACCATTTCCCTAGTAATTACATTTATCTAGTATTCAAAAAATTTCTCTTCAACCAAATGGCCCCTAGGAGACGTTTGGATCACGGTTTTGTAATATTTTCCCATCCATCTGACATTGGGAAACGAATACGTCCATGTTTGGTTCAAGAGAATTGAAATATTTGCCTTGCTTTCTTATTTGCATAGCTAATCAGAAAAGTGTGTAAAAATCAAAGCCACTGCACTGTTGAGAAAGACAATAACAAGGTGGTATTTTGTATTTGACTGGGTAAATGGAAAATAGGGCAACCACATCAGACGAAAATATCCTCAATTTATGATTAACTGACCCTATGTAACTGCAAAAATAAGGATACCAATCATACATGTTACAAGTAAGGGTATTTTAATATTTTTAATCAATTTTTCCATTAATATTTTAACTTCAACCAAACATACACTCAGAAAATTTAACTCAATTTTTCCAGTAATATTTAAGCATACCAAACAACTTTTTCAAATTTTTCTACTAAAATCACTTTCCAACAATTTCTCGTAAAAAAAATTTTCTCCCGAACCAAACACCCGATAGAGATTTATCCGGGGTGGTTTTCTATTACTGTTGGTTACCAAGATTGAGACATTGATTCATGCGATGAAAAGTTTTTTTTTTTTTTCAAAAAAATGATTAAATGTTTCGCTTATTATGTAATTGTCATTAATGAATTCACTGATTGTGGATTTTATGAAATTTTGAAACAAAAGTTACACAATATCTTAGGGGCAGGTTATATTTATAAACTTTTTTTTTACAAATTCTTATAAACTACACTATCCTCTCCGAAGAACATTAAGTTTCACTATGTTCTCCTGGGAGAAGATAGTATAATTTGTAAAAATTTGTCAAAATTTTTGTAAACGGATCCTTCTTCATATCTCTATGATATTTTCTTTTAGTTTGGATTACAAAATATGGAAACTTTTTTTTTTTTTGGTAAATAGCTCATGCTATGTTTAAAGTGGACTGAAAGTTCTACCAATAACCAATTGTGTCACTCAGTTTTATTATTATTATTATTATTGGTAAATACTCAGTTTTATTATTTTATTTTAGTAGATTTATTGTTCTTAGAACTGATACTTTGAGATAATTTTAAAAACAGTTAACAAAAAACAATCAACCAAAAACGTTTATTATTTTTTTTTTTGTAGAAACTAAAAACAAAAACCAAACTAGCCCTGTCAATCTTTGCTTTTACTATTGTTACTTTTTTGCAGTCTGGATTCACCATTTTCAATTTCACTATATTAATAGCTCCAAAAGTAAATTGTGAGTTAGTAAGCTATGGAAGAGTGGAATTTGGAAATGATGCGCAATAGGAAGTGGGGTTCAAAGGAATAAAGTATTTTTATTTGTCACTAAACCGTGTTGATAAATTATTATACTCTTAAATTCTTTAACACATTTTATTGACTAACAAGTAATAATAGAGGCAATACAAAAAATATAGGGAGGCAATATAACAAAAAGAAATGAACAGTAATATATGATATAAAAAAAAATCTTTAAGGTTATGATTTTTTTTGAAATAATTTTTGGCTAGGATGCTAGATTTTTTACGTTCCATATCAAATGTAGATTGATCTGCCAAAATGGTGGAAAAAAAGATGAAGATGAAATAGACATTAATGGCAAAAGAATATAAAGAAAGAAGAGCTTTTTTTGGCTGTTTCACTGTGGACGCTTCTACCGAAATGCATTATGTTTTTATGTTGTATGAATGTGGACCGAAGGTCAATTTCAGACTACTAATTCAGACTTGTCAAAGATTCCTACTTTAAATAATTGCAAATTGACCATAATTAAATTTAGAAAAGGAACAATGGATCACCTCTCTTTACACTATTAGTTTGTGAAGGCTACCAACCAACCACCATAGGCACCATTCACATGTGGCCATTGAAATATTTTACTATGAAGCCTTGTAATCAACAATATCTCCGGCAAGTTGACACATTTTAAATAGGCGTCACTTACAAACTTAAAATTTTATTTTGTTTCTTTGCTTTTTCCTTGTTCTGCACACACTTAACACATGCTGAGATTGTGTATAAATAAAGATCTTTGTGGAATGAAGAAGCCACAATAGAGCAAAATCTCGTTCTCAGCAGCTTACCCTTTCACTTAATCTCTCACACAATGGACCATCAAAATGACATTTCTAGCAATGTCACCAGCAGCACGCATAGGAAGAAACAAATGATGAACAGACGAGTGATTTTGGAGAATGAAGAAGACATCAACAAAATGGCCGAGGCATTCATCAACAACTTCCGTAAACAGTTGAAGATTGAGAGACAAGAATCAATCCAACGTTTCCAGGATATGATAAACCGAAGTGCTTGAATGATTTCATCAAAATAAAAATACTCAAGTTTGATCATCAAGTACAAAATGACTGGACAGTGTATTTATTTCTTGTTATTAAGCATAATTATGATGCATAAAAGTTTGATTTTTATAGAAACTTTTTCAGTAATTCAAAGTTCACCCCTTTTATATTCTTCAAAAACAGTTAACAGATTAAGCACAAGAACAACTATAGTATGTTGCTTTTCTAAAAAACAATGTACAGCCGCAGAGCATGTCTAACAAACCTTATATATATGGTTACAAAGGGAAAAGGCACAGCGTTAGAGTGAAATAGCATATACAATATCTGCTCCTGATTCGTGACTGTAAAGGAATGCCCTCATTCTATTGTGAAAATCAACATATTTCCAGGAAAAAAAAGCATAATCTCTCCATGTTCCTCACATAACACGAGAGTGGAAAAACCTATTTCAATTGATTTTTCATAGAAATCATCAATTTCCCTAATTGTATAACCAAGATTATCAGGCTTGAAGCACCTGACAGCGGACAATGTGAGTCTTGAAACCACCACGCCCTGCTATAGTTGACCACAAGTTTCTAACTAAAGTCCTGAGATGACCTTCTCCAGCGATATTTTCCCAAAGATGAGGATTGTTAGGACTTGAAACATCTACTAGACTGATGCTCATATTGTTGCGGATAATGCATAGCTTTCCATTAAGGGAAACAAGCGCGGCAGCATCAAGAGAACGAGAGCTACCCAAATGAAGCTTGCTATCAATAAACTTTTTCCATGAATCTGTTGCGCTATCATATACTGTGAGCTTGCATCCATCCTGGCAATCAAGAGCATAGAGTTGTCCATTCAGCGAGACACTAGGATTACGCCAACCATCGACCATTCCATTAGTAACTGGGTTCCAGGTATCAGTTTCAGGTGAATAGGCTATACACATGACATTGCGATGATATCCAAGTCCCTTCAAAAACCATGTGTCATTGTGAACAACACCAACAATGGGCACCATGGCTGTGCTCATGTCTGAGATAAAGTTCCACCTGTTCCGGTTGGGGTCATAAACTTCAGCAGAACGCAGAGTTCTTTGAATTCCTTCGCATTCCCCCCCAGCCACATAAAGACAATTATTTATTACACATGAACCAAACAGATGACGTTTCCGCAGCATATCTGGTGCCCTATGCCATTTATTTGTACGGGCACTATAGAAAATTACACGTCTCATGGATCCCTTAAGAGGATCTCTTCCACCAAATAAGTACAGGCGGCAACCACTAAGAACTGCGCAGCCAAATCCCAATGCTTCAGAATATTCCCCAGGAACAGGGGGAAGGGGTTGCCATAGTTGGTAGGTGGGATCAAAAGCATGCAATGAAATTCTTCCATCACGGTCTCTTTTGATGACATACACCCACTCTTCTGCCATTCCAAGACTTTTCCTGAGTGAATAAAAGAAGTTTCCAGACAGGAGGCTGTGCCATTTCTTGCAAACCAAGCGTAGTTTTCTGTGCTCAATCCGCGGTACTCGAATCAAACAAGCGATAGCAAGATCATCCGGAAGGCCAGGTAGGAGAGGAGGCTGAACTCTTGTCCTCTCTCTACGTGAGTTTTTGCTCTTATGTGCATTTGGATTTATGTCAGGTTGGATACATAGCTTTGATCCTGGAACATATTTCCTTGCCCCAGCAACTGTTTTCAGGCCTGAATCTACTTTACAGTAGCAAGAAATAGAATCAACCTGTAAATCTTGCCAGGTTAGTATGCTAACCATAATCCAGTAAAAAATATTCCATTTAAAAGATATAAATGCATAAGTTTCACCTATTGTCTCCTTTATAACTCCAGGTCCCAAAATATTACACAGTTCAAGATAATTATTTTTCTTGAAAAAAAACAAGTTCTGTGCAAATAACTTCCCACAATTTATTGACTCACCAAACAAAAATTTACTTCGACAAGCCCAAATTTTATTTTTCTTTAGAAATCTTCTATTCAATGCTAGCATTATATATGGATGTAGCCATCAAATTTTAAATGCTGATTATGAGACAGTGAGAATGAAGAAAAAACACTAAGACGTCACGTCACAAGTCATGAAATCATCAGATCAATCCAGACAATATCAATATCGTTATCAATAAAAGAAGTATATTAACATCAACACGTTATCAACATCACCTTTATCTCAAACTTGTTGGGTCAATGGTTGGTGATCGATAAATCCAAATAAAAAGCAAGAAAAGATTGAAGGAATATATATATATATATATATATATATATATATATATATATATATATAATTTAAAAAAAATAAAGGTGCTACTGATACATGTACCAGAATCTTCCTTCACAAACAATTTGCGAGTAAGCCCAACAGCTTGAGTTTAGACAAAATTATAGCCGAACAGACAGAACCCATTCACCATGTACATTTCAGAATAAAGAAAGATTAAAACCCATATGAATGCGGCAATGGGCATTGAGGATAAATCATATTGAAGAGCCAGGAGAAAGTGGGACGGAAGGGAGGTACATTTGTCATACATTGACATATCATATAGGTAACTTCCAGAATGAGAAAGGATGGTGACGAGCAACAGGATGGTGAAGAAACTAAACTAACCTCTACCCTCAAAAATTTTTAACCAAAGACATCAGAAAAAGGAAGAATCAGGTATGCTAGAAAGCAACACAGAAATGCCACAATGACCAAGTTTTAATCAAGATACACAGAAATTACTAATTTTAATTAGACATACAGGACAGAGAGAGATGAAAGGACAAAAAGAGAGCACTAGAAAAATGCATCAAGAACTTCAGCTTAGTTAAACAAAATTTACAAAAGTATATTATATATGTAGGAACTGTGGTAACTGATCATGTCATGAACCCACAATGAAAGGACAAACCAATCATGCTTAAGCTTCGAACCAATCATTGTTGCCAATTTATCCCAACAAAAAAATGACATTTTGCTCTAGTATGTCGTGCTTAGCTAAGATTTGAAATGAGAAAGATAAAACATTGACTTGGTCACCAGAAACTCAAGCACAACTCTTGCAAATTAAAACTTTTTCAGCACATAAAAAACAGCCAGAACAGCGGTTATCCGGGTATGTCTGATAATGGCACGAACGAATATAAAAATAAAATAAAATCGTAAAATGAAAATTTTGGACTGACCAGTGGAGCTTGAACTCTAGAACCCCTTTGAGCATTGGCAGTGTGTTCAATTAGTTGACTCATTCTCGAAGATGAAATGGATTTCAACTTTCAACGCATGCTATTGCTATTGCTATTTGCTGGCTCCAGAATCTAGATCACAATATCAAGACAACCCCTAACCTACAATTCTCCAAATCTGATCCAGTTTACACAAAAACGAAAGTTTCCCCCCTTTGACCTCTGAAACTGCAAAAGAATCGTAAACAGAGAAATGGGTCATACTCATCTGCAATTCACGAACAACTAACTACTCTGGTGAGTCGTGATACACCTCTATCTCTCTCTCTCTCTCTCTCTCTCTCTCTCTCTCTCTGGCTTGCAATGCAACCGTTGAACACTACAGCTAACAGCTGGACCCGATAACCGCAATTGGGATTTGATAAAATAAATATCTTTGATGGAAATTGAATTTGATGAATTTTGTGAATAAATTTACAAGTGAGATAAATTTCAAGAGAGAGAAAGAGAGCTTGTGTCTTGAATTGGGAATGATGATGGTCCCCTGTTATAGCTGTTGGGTCAAAGTCAAACCTTCCTTCCTTTGCACTTTGAAGGCAAAGGAGAGGGACACTAGTGAAGGGTTTTCAATTTTATTCCTTACACCAATATCATCCTTTCCGTTGGATTTTCGGTGAGATTATATTAATAATTTTATATTTATTTAATATATTCTTTCATACTAATATTATAAGCAGAAAAATTCGTTTATAAATTTTTTTTACAAATTACACTAAATATGACCGGTCATATTTATAAAAGTTTATAAATATAAACTTCCCTATATTATAAAGCTTATCCTATTGAATAAAATTACATTAATAATTTTATATTTCTCTAATGATATCATTAAACACTATAGTTTTTTATTCAAAACCCTCTATGATTTTCTTTTTCTCAATTCAAATTAGACAGAATACTCAAATTTAAATTCAAAAACGGAAAGCCTACTGCAATTTTTCTTTTACGGCTGAAAACATTTTTGACATAATAACATTACCTGAAAATATACATTAATAAAATTACTTTTAGAAAATATAAAACTTGCAAGTGCCTGCGTCCCCAGTAAGTTCTTTGATTATGCTTTTAGGCCCCGGTGTTACCAAATAATAATCCTGACAAGAAACAAAGGCTATACTTAATATTGCATTTTAACACTAACAAATCTTGATAATATGAGATTATAAACTACCGATTTTCATCCAACCAAAGCATAACCAAAAAATTTAAGGAACAACATGAACAAATATGACCATGCTAATCAGCTAGACTGATATAAATCCAATGCTAAAACCATCTGGTAAGAAAATTTTTCATTCATTTCAGTCACCACTAAAATATTACAAAACCTTAGGCCATAAAAATAGACAATGTTAAAATGGTAACATATATTGGGTAGAAACATGATCAAGAGATAAATAGATACAACTGTAAAGGAAAGCCTCCACCTCTCCCACTGCATATTCTACAACCATTCTCCCACCAAATAACCACCCAAATGAAGAGTACAGAAAGTTGTCAAAAATAAACTACTAATATGTTAGTAATCGCAATTGCCAACACCTACCAACACTACACAAGCTCTATTGATGTGGGAACATACCACATACACACCCCCAGCTCCCTTAATGATTAGCATTGTAAAACGTACAAAATGATGTTGGCTTGAAACACTAGGAGGGCAAAAGAAGTAAATTACGACCATAAACTTGAAAGAAAGATTAAAAAGAAGAAAAAGCATCCTATAGGTATATGTCCACACCTAATACCTAAGACAGTATATAATGACATCAAAACTTAAAAATCAATCCCATGCACTGGTTACCCCAGAACCGTATCCTCCAGCATACCCACCAGAAGCCCCATATCCACCACCACCACCACTGCTGTTTCCTGCACCATAGTAATCAGAACCACCCCTGCTAAATGAACCTTCTCTTCGAAAGTCACGGCCACCAAAACGGCCTCCTCCTGATCTACGGTTCCTTCCTCCACCAAAGGAAGATCGAGCAGCATAACGCGAGAGCCATGCAGGTACTTCTTGATGTGCTTCTTGCATCAGTTCTGCTAAAGCCCTTGCTAGAGATGCATTGTTGTCATTGAAGAATGCAGTTGCAAGGCCTTTCTTTCCTGCTCGCCCTGTCCTTCCAATTCGGTGTACATAATCATCAATATCATTAGGAAGGTCAAAGTTAACTACATGAGCAACATGAGGAATATCAAGACCACGCGCAGCCACATCCGTAGCAACCAATATTGGGGTATTGCCACTTTTAAATGACCTTAATGCCAATTCTCTTTCCTGCAGTCATTGCAATAACGATAAGCATATATAAACACAGACAAACAATAACAGAAAAACTAGTAAATGATATAATGTAAAAGGCCTTCAAAAATAATAATTACAAGAAGTTGAAAAGCAATTAGGCTTTAAAAAGGTAATTATTACAAACCCTGAGACAGTGTGATGATTGCAAGCTTCAGCTTCAAACAAACTAATGGTAAACTCAGAGACTGACAATAAAAGAAGTGCCCAAAATAAAAGGAATTCATTATCAAGGGCAAGGATGCTGAAAAAAGTCATTTTGAACCTAATAATCACAAAAATAAAAATAAAAATAAAATAAATAAAATAAAAAATAAAAAATTCTTTTCTAGCAATAACCAATGGATGTCTGTTCTTAATATGGTGTTAGGTATGAGGAATCTCGCAAGATTCATAGGGATTATAGATTTGAAATGTGAAAACCCTATGTTTTTGTATTAGAGTTGGAGGAAGATTCCAAGGATTAACAAATCTGCAGTAGTCAGAAATCTCATCAGTGATTTGTAGGGATGCACCATGTGAACCAAACATTTTTTTTTTTTTATAAATCCCTAGGAATAACATTTTTTTTACAAAGACCTAGGGATGCTCCTTGTGAACCACACAATTTTTTTTTTATAAATTCCAAAGAATAATATTAGTCGGAATTAAGTTCCTTAAAATTTGGAACGTGGTATGGAATTGGAATCTATCATTCCACAAACCAAATGCCAGCATAAGGTCATGGTGACCCCAAAAATGATCTAGCATCAACTTATGCAGCTAAGGCTTTGGTAAATTGAACATCTTAATCTCTTTTACTCCATAAATTTACTCCCCTTACACAAATAGTTGGCAGACAATATGTCAACCCTATTTTACACTACACAAACTCCAAACCAGACACACTTATCTAAGCATTCACCATGCTATACCTGAGGATCAAACCCAATTACAGAAAAAAATGAGAATACATGGGTATGGGCCTTGTCCATCAAATATAAAGTTGGTCTAAACATCAATACAAAGGCAGATATAATTGTACAAGAGACTAACCTGTTGTGACCTGTCACCATGAATAGTAGTTGCTGGAAATTTATTAAGAGTCAACCAGTGTTCCAGAGCATCAGCTCCCTTCTTTGTCTCAACAAACACCAAAGTCAAAGCTTGCTGCAAAATCCAAAAGCATGCATGAGATAGTCTTATAAATAATAATTTAGCAATAGAGTTTAGAAAAGACATATCTAAACTATGAGAAAACACAACAACATGGTATAAATCTACTACACATTGCACAAACAGAAAGACAAGTGCAATTGTCCAGAGGGAAGCATCACATGACAGACCTGAGAAAGACAGAATAGGAATAGATATGCCAAGAGAATTAAGACAACAAAAAGATAATTGGCAATATAAATACAATCATGCAAGACAGACGTCTTGGGTTGATAAGCAATATCCAGAACAACCCAGCCAAAACCAGACAGTTTCTGAGAGTACTAATCATCAGGTTTACTTTAAAAGCTTTTCAGTTTTCTGGAATACTGCTAAAAGAGTCACAGATTATTAAAAAGAAAAAAATTGTAATCATAACCAATCAAATGTAGAAGTCTCCGCATCATTGGTTTCATAGCTATAATCACCATTTCAGTTGATCTGGGCCACCTTCCCAAGACCAATGAATGTATGCATCAGTGTTCAGCAGCAGATTGAGGTCAAAACAACTTGAATAAACCCTTGGAATGTGTATGACTTTACATTTAATGCTAAAAACACAAACTAAGTTTTATGCAAGAGAAATGCACTTTCTGTGAACTGTGATAATACCTTTCCTTGTACACCATTTGCCCTCTGCGCATGAAGAAGGTCCATGAGGTGACTTCTTTTGTCAGACTCTTGAACATACTCAACTCTTTGGACAATCAAATCAGTACTTGAGCCCACTCTTCCCACAGCCAGAAAAATATACTTTGAAAGGAAATCAGCTGCTAGTCTCTGCATATCAACAGTCAATCACAACAAAATTCAAGGATATGACGAGGAAGCTATAAATCCAACAAATAGTACTCATTTGCACTATTTATATCTTTCTAGGAATAAAGGTGGAAGGTGTGATTGAGGTTCAGAAGAACCCCCCCCCCCCCCCAACCCCTCTTTAAAAACAAAAAGAAAAATATGCAAATATACAATGCATAAATACATATGGAAAATGCATGTCAGAGTAATGACAATTGACAACCTAAAATGTAAGGTAAGGGCACATCTCCCTAACATAGATGGCGAAGGCATCATCTTGAAATTCCAACCAACAACAAATAGGAAAAACAGTCTGGATGCACCCCTAGAAAAAAGGGGGCACGAAAAGACAAAAAAAAGTCCAACTGGCCCCTATGAAGTAGAAGAGCAAGCAAAATTAAGAAACACATTAAAATTATGCATACACACACATGTATATACATTAAAGAATGCTTCACTCAAAAGTATATATTTATAGAATGAATAAAACCTGTATCTCTTTTGGAAATGTGGCACTGAACAGCACGGTCTGTCTAACACCTTGCGGAGGCATGTCCATTTGTTCTACAATCTTCCTTATTTGCGGTTCAAAACCCATATCCAGCATCCTATCTGCCTCATCTAAGGCCAAATATCTTATCATCTGCAGTGAAACTCTAGCTCTCTCCAGCAAATCAACCAGTCTTCCTGGAGTTGCAACAAGAATGTCCACCCCTCTCTCAAGATCCCGTAGCTGGAAAAATTACATCTTGTTAGGATCTATGCCAAAATGTAAATGTTCATACCAGCATTCAAAGGTAAAATATGAAAGACCGTTCAAGAACTTTACTCTAAAGTCTAAATGCCAGATTGGATCCATTCAGCAAATTTTGCAAGAAGAACAAAAATCAACAAGAGCATACCAGCTAGAGCAACATATTTATGCACTTTCAACATACTCCCAGAAACTATATTCAGAAATTTATTAGCAATGTTTTAAAATTTCCTACAGATACAGTAATTCACAAACTCCTATTCTCAGGTACATCAGAAATCCCTCTGATTCCCAAAATAGAAAGCCTTGAGTGTGAGCTATGGATACCATAATCTCATGGCAAATACAACAAAAGTTTCAGAATCAACAGAAACCCTAGTGAAAACAACAACCAAACCTTATCCAACTAGGTGGAGTCAGCTATTTGGATTAATCAATAAAACAAAACAGAAAATTTGAAGCATCTATCAAGAATAGGATCACATAGTAGCATAGTTAGTTCTAGGGAAAAACAAAGCAAAGAGCAAGGAGAGAAAAAAATAAAAGACAGGACAGAAACCTGCTGGTTTATTGGAGCTCCGCCATAAGCAACAACCACCCTAACCCCTGTCTGGTATGAAAACTTCCTAGCCTCTTCATGTATCTGAAAACAAATCACAATATTTCCGATATATTTTTTTCACTGCAAAACTGCAACCAATTAGAAGTATGTCATAACACATGGTTCATATAACTAACTCACTTGCATAGATAGCTCCCTAGTTGGTGAGAGAACAAGTGCAAGTGGATACACTGTACGCACCCCGCGAGGTGGCCTTTGCACGGGTTGGCCCCTCATAATTCCACAGATAATTGGGAAACAGAAAGCAGCTGTCTTTCCAGAACCAGTCTGCGCACAAGCCATCAAGTCCCTTCCAGCAAGGGAGATAGGTATGGCATGCCGCTGAACAGGTGTTGGCTTCACATATTTGCACCGTCTTATATTCAAATTAAGTGCTTCCCCCAAGTCAATCTCTGCAAATGTATTCACGGGCGGAGGCACATTCTCACCACTGATCTCCACTGGAATGTCTTCATATGCATCAAAATTAATTCCAGTATTCTCCTGCTCACTTAATGCCTCTTCTGCATCATCCTGATCACCAAAGGGATTAACTTCACGGTCCCTTCCACGATCCCAACCACCACCACCACCAGTTCTGTTCCCCCATCCACTTGTGCGGCCACTGCCACTGCTACTGCCACCACCACCAACCCCCCCAGAACGGTAATCATTTCTGGGCCCAGCCCATCGTGATCCAGCATTACTAGAAGCAGATGCAGTGCCAGTCTGTACTGGAGCAGGGGATTCTGCTGATGGTGGACGATTCCTCAGATGCGGAGGCACATAAACAGGTCGCGAGGGAGCTAGAGTGTTAGCATTGTTTGCAGATGAAGCAGTAGGTGCATTTTCAGCTGCTGAATTTGCAGCCAAATCAGCCCATGAAGGTCGCATAGTTGTTCAAAGGAAAAATCCTGGTTCCCTCCCTCCCTAGTTCCCAAAAAAATAAAAATAAAAATCAGCCGCGCAAATATTCAATGAATTCGATCATCTCGTAAAGTTGAAAGGCAAGTAAGCATAGAGCATGACATCAAATATATAACAAAACATGCAGGCGCAAGAACACATAATAAAAAGGAAACAAAAACCTAGCCTCAAATGGTGTTAACACACAGAAGCAAGGTGATGATGATCTAGAATGGCGAAGCAAACACAATGTCTTTGGGAAAGCAAATAAATTAATAAAAGAAAAAGAGAAGTCGACATCGGCATGTGATGGCATGGAGATTGGAGATTGAAGATTGGAGATTGAAGATTGGAGATTGAAGAGATTGTTGAAGAGAAAAGAGAACCTGTATTGGGAAGACTAAAACCCTGAATTGGTGAAGAAGGAGAAGATTATTGACGAAGATCGAGAAACCCTAAATACCACGCAGTCACAGACACACACAACACAACACAACCCAACAGAATCGCCTTCAAACTTGGATGGATACAAAAATATCTTTTCTGCCTTAGGATGCGCTCTCTCTCTCTCTTAATTACTCAATTTTCCTATTTTTATTTTTATTTCTCAATTTTCTTTATTAAAAGAAAGAGATCAAATCAGACTCAAAGTAGGACTCTGACTCTCTTGCTTTTTTAAAAAAATAAAAAGTAAAAATAATAAGTATTCTCTCTCTATCTATTGCGGCTGCCTTTAAAAGTGCATGTTTGATTCTCTTATTTTTTAACTTTTTTTTTCTCTTTTATAATTATAAGTTAGATTAAATAAATTTTTTTATAACAAAAAGAGCATTTTAAAATGCATGTTAAAATATATTGTAATAAAATTATCACATTTAAACGGAATTTATATCAATTGATTATATTTAGTATGTGAAATGAGTGAGCATAGAGAAATGAATATTTCATAATAAGAAGGGAGATAAATTATCTCCGGTAATTTCAATACGACGTGGTTTTGGGACAGAAATTATGGTATTTTGTAATTTTAATTTATTTCAGGGTTCTAACAGTCTTTATATATATAAATTTTAAAATCTCAATACCAAAACGACGTCATTTTGGAAATAAATGCATATAACTTATATGCAGTATCTGCAGAAATATTTTCCCCAATAAAAAGTGGGGGAAAACATGTTTTATTATTTTTTAAAAAGGAAAAAGTGTTTATCATTTTAAATGAAATAAAGTTATGTCATTTTAAGAGAGAGATAGACACACCAAACTCCTTTGGCACAGGTTGTAAAGAGCCTGGGTCCCTTAACCAGAGGTCTTGAGTTCGAGCCCTGGGAATGAAAAAAAAAGGATTTGGGAGAGCCGCCCCCGAAAGGGTCCGACAGTGTTCGATTGGGGATTAGTCTTCAGTTACGGCTGGAGGATACCCTTCAGATTATTGGGAAAAAAAAAAGATAGACATAAAATAAATTTTTTTATTTAAAATTTAAATTAAAAAAAATCACTCACTTTCTTTCTCCCATCATTTCTATTTTTTGTGTTTATCTCTCTCTTTAAATAACATAACTTGTGTTATTTAAAATCACACAATCTAATTAGTCTACAGCCTTTCTTATTTATCTAGACCAATTTCATGCAGATTACAGACCCAATTAGTGAGAGACCCAAAGACTATTGCTTCCAGAGAAAGGAAACGCAGTCCTCGCACAACTTCTTGACACACGACATCAGCCGCTTAGAATGCTCCCACCCCACCTATAGCCAATGGCTAGAGGACAAATAGGAGCTTACAACTATATCTACAAGCACCCTACATACGGGATAGCCTTCAAAGACTACTTTTTTTTCACCAATGGGAACGAATACTGCTATACTAAGATAGCGGAACCAGGATGCTCACCTACTCATCTACTATATATACAGAGACATTAAGTGCAAGTATGATCATTTTTCATCCATACTTGACCATATTAAATACTTACTGATTTGAATGTTGGAGTGGCTTAAATTACTACAAGCAATCACATCCTGCTAGCCAACAACATATCAGGCAAAAAAACAACCCCCGTCAAGGCCCAATTACCCAACTACACAAGCTCAATTATGTCTGATCTAGTCCAGTAGTTATATTTAATTGATCACTTGTTAAATTAAATGTCCCTTTTTCTTAAAAGGGAAATTTTTTATCCCAATTAAACCAACACCTTTAACTTTATTTTCCTCTCAATCCTAACTTTTAACCCTTTTTTTAGAAGGGATATAGAGGAGCACCCAAAATTTGTTCGTGTTAGAGGGGCTGATGACTCTCATTGAGAATATAATGCCAATAACACTATATGGGAGAATTCATCCTAATTTGACCCAGATCGGTCAAATACCCCAATATAATTTGACATGTGACATAAGAATAAGAATAAAAAAAAAAGTTATTTTATTAAATATACCGGTTCATGTGATGCCCAAATAAACAAATGCCTTTGGTGATGATATGACATGTTACTTTCCCAGTGACCAAAACAAAACTACCCCAAACTATTAAAAAGTTTTAAAATGTTTTTCGTTTTATCCTTTAACATAACACAACAAACTTTCCTACACTCACAATATTTTGTGAGCCCCACACATTTTAAAACAAAAAAATAAATAAAAAATTAAGGCACGCAAAACGAATCTCTATAACATTATAGAATCATTTTTTCTACAACATAACTCTTATAAAACCCTTTTAAAATTGCCTCGGTTCTGAAAATAGCTTGTAAATTAAGGTTACTTTGGTCAAAAAGCCCAATTAATAAAATATGGTAAGTGGTGTGACTCACGTAACAAAGTTTTGAATTGGGCGACATTAATAAAACTGTAGATAGTCTTCCTCCGCAGGGTAATGATTCTGGAAGAGAAACATAACAAAGTACAAAAGAATTCGTCGTTTTCAATTACATCTGCAATTAAAATTATCAGCGGATTTACAACTAACACAGCCATCAGATTTACAGGAAAGTGGCTCAACTTTAGGCATTAGGGGCTCAACTTTTCACTTTTTATATTTCCAAAAGGACATTGTGAAAAAAGAAGAGTGCTCGTAAGCCTGAATACAGAACTGCTAATGATTAACTTCCACTGCTATTCAGAATATGGGTCGTTGCTCAATATCATATATACATAGGACACTTCTTTGGGAATGAGGTTTTCTGAATACAGTATTTATGGATGATCAGGGGCAAACGAATGTTCATCAACAACACAAGTTACAGAGGGACAGGCAGATGCATACTTTCTAAGCATGGTCATGACTTCTGATTTCTTTTTTATTCATCCTGTTCATGATTCGGGAAGCATCATTAAGCCTATCTGCTCTTTCATAAATGCTGGCAACAACAAGATGCAACTCCTTCTTGTTGATATTGGGATTAGAATCCAGCTTCTCAAACAATGACTCTACCACTGCGAAATCCTTTCTTGCCCCATATAGACTGAGCATCTGGAAATGAACTTCGTCTGGAAAAACACACCCTTCTTCATGCATCTGTCTATATAAAGCATCTGCTTTCTCAAATTCACGCAGCTTTCCAAAAGCATTTAGCACGAGAGCAATAACATTAGAATCAGGAAAATATCCCACCTCTCTCATCTTCTCAAACACTTCAACTACATTTGCATACTTTTTGTTCCTTGAGAAAAGATTTATCATGCAACCAAATACAGATATATTTTTTACCTCTCCAGCATCAAAAGCCTGCCGGAAAACCCATGTAGCTTCTTCAATTCTACCAGCCCTAGCAAGAATTGTGATTGCAGTCTCCCTGGGAATGTTGTCTGGTCGTCTGAGCTCGTGAAGCAGAAGCTTAGCATGAGCAACTAAACCTGCTCTCTCATAGGCTACAATCATTGTCTGGTAAAGAACCTGATCAATTTGAACTCCTGAACTCCTTAATTTTTGAAACAAAATGGCCGCCCTGTCCAGTTTTCCTGCCTTTTCCCATATAGATATTATTGTTGAATAAGTGATGGCATTTGGTTCAATACCTCTATTCTGCATTTCTTGAATGAGATTTGTTGCCTTCTCATGCTCAAGAGACTTGCCATAAATATTAATCATAGTGTTGTAGGTGACAACATTCTGTTCTACACCCTTCCTTTGCATCAAACGAAACAGATGGATGGCTTCCCCAAATAGTTCAGCCTCTCCATAAACCCTCAAGAGCGTATTATAACTAACCACATTGGGTTCAATTCCCATTTTCCTCATGCTCCAGAACAGCCGGTCAGCTTCTTTGGCCATGTGAAGCTGGCCATAAACATCAACCATGATATTGCAGGTTGTAAGATCAAGCGGGCATTTCCCTTCATTCATCTCAGAGAATACAGAAAGTGCTTCAACAAACTTTTGATTCTCAACATAGATGGCAAGAAGCGTTGAGTAGCTGACGGTATCCGGGTGAACACCATTGTCCTTCATCTCCTGAAGAAGAAGACGAGCCTCACGGAAGAGCTTAGCTTTTCCAAAAACATTAATCATAGAGTTATAAGCAATAAGGTCAGGAGTAATAGTGGAGTTTTTCAATCTCATGAAGATGGAAATGGCCTTAGAATAATCGCACAACTTGCGGGAAAGCTCAATCAAATTACTATACAAGACAAGGTCACCAGGAACATTGTCTCGCTCCATCTGCTGGAGCCAAGACAAAGAAGCATCAAACAAACCATGTTTCCCAAAATAAGTAATGAGGGTGGAGTAAGTGTACCTATCAGGGGCGAGACCCTTTTGACGCATTTCATCAAACAGGCCATGTGCGAGGTGCCACTGCTTGGCTCGAAGAACGTTGCGAAGAACAACGTTGTAAGCGACGAGAGAAGGAGAATAAAGGGCCTTTTCGTTGATCCAATCGAGAAGGGCAAGGGAGCGTTGCCAATCGGGCTCGCGGGAGAGCAAGGAAACCATGAACCGAATAGAGAGCTGTCTCCCGTTGTAGGGTGACATTAGAGCATACAGTTCTTGCTCGTTCTGGGTTTCCCCAATTGACGTTAATAGTTCCTCCATGTCCACGCTATGGTCCAAGTACCCACGTTGTTGTTGGCTTCTACTACGTGTTCGACGTTCCCTAGTGTTAGTGTTAGTGTTAGTGTTAGTGTTGGATGTTGGGGTCCACACATCTTTGGTTATAGCTGCTAAGCATATAGTAGAAATAGTAGTAGTGGTGTTGATGCTCACGCTGGTTTTGGCAAAAGAACAAGGGAATGGGAATGATGATGATGATGATATTGAACCCACCAGCATTGAACAAGTAACAGAAAATGACGACACTGAGAACATAATAACTAACTAACTAACTAACTAACTATCTTCGATCAAGCTTATATTGTTTATTATTATTGAGCTAGTTATGGATGAGGATGACTCTGCTGCGTTCATTCCTCGTCAATGGAATGGAATGCAATCCAAGCAGAGGGGAGTCTCACCCATCTATAGCATTTGATATTAAAACATAATAAATTTTATGTGGTTGCTCAATTTATGAAGTAACTTGGGCTTGACCAATTGCTCAAGGCCTGGGCTTTTAGACAAAGCCCAACCCTTCAGACCGACCCAGCGCGTCTCGCTTCTCGTCCTCATCCAAATGTTGGACTTGGAACCGCAAAATTTTGTAAATTGATGAAATTATAAATATATTTCTTCTTGTAAGCTATAAAGCTTATTATAACTAAATATTTGCATGAGGAAGGAGATTATTATCTATATTAAAAAAATAAAAAATAAAAATTACAAATAAATTTATTTATGAATTTAAACGGGACGAAGTTGTAACAACCCTTAATATTAACTCTTATAAGGGATGTTACATGAGTTCTTTAAATTTTAATATTGACAATAAGAAAATTAAAAAGGAAACTTAAACAAACATATACTAACGTCACTTTATACATATCATTGAGTCAAGTACACACTGGAAATATTTTACAATGGTCCTACATCCTACTATATATTACATCACTTTATTTGTATCTTACATCCTTACATCACCTAATTATACAATACATGGGTCTTATCCTAATCTAGTCTATAGGTGTAGGTCTCCACACTTTCAGCATAGAATATTGCAGCAGCTCCTTAATTTCCTACGACAATATAGAATTCCATGCGATCATCATAAGAGTAAATATTGATACTCCATCATTCACCTGACAAGCTTAGGCTAGGCATTATGATTTTCTGGAAAGGTTAGCAACAAATAAAACATGAGAAAATTCTCAGTAATATTGAGGTTCTTTTTCTTTTTTAACTATAACCATTTCCAGCTGTAGTAACAGAAAATATCATTCTCTCAATTAATAGAAAATGAAAAAGCAATAGAATAATAATAAACACTACACTGTATAATATTTAACTGAAACTATTTAAATACCCAATTTATGTGGATTTCCTGCATGTGAAAAGTTCTGTATGGCGGAGCTCAAACCATGATAAGGCGTCCCTTACCCTTTAACTGTCTGATTCCAAAACTTTATGGATCAGTTCATAGCAGTACATTACAGTTAAAATTACACATTCTTTTGATATTTATTTGGTACCAAATAATTTGTTGTATATTACTACTAAGGAAAATTTAAAATTTAATGAATATACTAATAACATAAGAGGTAAAACAGAATTAAAAGAAAGATTAAGGTAAGAATGTAGATGCAAATAATATTTAATAAGAGAAGAGAAAAAAAAATATTTTGGCAGAATAACAGCATTACAAATTTTCTTAAATAAATAAATAAAAAGAATATAACTAAAAGGAAGAAAATAGAGTGAAAGTTTTACTCTCTCAATACTACCTTCTCCTCCTCTCCCTTTACTTCTCTTTCTCGCTGTTCTTCGGATCGTTTTTTTTTTTTTTTCTTTTCTACGTTTGCATTCCTTCTCTTCTTATTCTGATTCATATGTACCCATATATATAGCCCTTGTTTTTTTGACTATTTTGACTACCTCTAATGATTACATCTAATTGATTTCTAACCAAACTAACTAAAATTTTGTCTAAATCTAACTATTCTTTACTAATGAAATAATTGCATTTAATACAAGTCTTATTATTCTGATCTTTTTTTTACACGTTACTAGATATCTAGAAAATCCACATTTTGATAAGCTTCAATTTTTTTTTATTGTTAATTTTTTTTACACTTTGCTAGTTACATATATATATATATATATATATATATATATATATATATTTATATATTATTATTTTATTTTATTTATTATTACTATTATATTATTTTAATTATTTAATACTTTTTTTTTTGGAAATACAATTATTTAATACTTTAATATATATATGTATATATATGTTATTTGTCATTATTATTATTTTATTTTATATATATATATATTTATTTATTTCTTTATCATTATTGTTATTTTATTTTATACATATATATATATTTCTTTACCATTATTGTTATTTTATTTTATATATATATATATATTATTTATTTTTTTATTATTTTTATACAATTATTATTTTAAAATATTACAGAAGTGGTCCCACCTTCAATATACCTCCAAGTTCAATTTCCCGACTCAAGTTTTCAATAGAGAGTGTAATGTACTTAGGTGTTCATGGGATGTGCAAGTCTTTGATGACCCTCCTCCTAGCTGTCTTCAAAATTTATACAGCAACATTATAGGTGTTTGCTGTGCTAGGTTCTGTACTTAGGCCTTTTTGCTGTGTTTTTCATTTCCATTATCTTTAAAAAAAAAAAAAAAATAGAGAGTGTAATGTAACTACTAAGATTCATTAATAGAACTTATGTAAATAAATTTAACTTTTTTAATTTTAAATTCGTTTATTAATGTAATTTTGAATTTACGAAAATTATTAATGATCTTTTAGTAAATAAATTCAACTTATTTTTAACTTTAGATTTAATTATATTCAAAATAAGTTTTATTTTTTAATTCTCAATCAATTTTCAATTTTTATATTACAAAACAATTTTGAAGATCTAAAAATAAAAATCAAATTCAAGCATACCCTAAAATTTCCAATTGATCACTAATTCCTCTCGGATTATAATATAACCTAAAATTAACGCCATTATCTTTCCTGTTATTGTGTATACTATATTGCATTATCGATGTATTTTATTTCTATTTAAAAAATGATTATATAGCTTAAGAAATACACCAATCTTATACGTTGAGATGTTGCATGTCTTTCAAAAAAATATGTTAATTTTAACCGAGATCTCAAGGATAAAGTAAGTTCAAAACATGTGGGTTAATAAATGATTATGATAAACATGGACATTTACAGTATTTAACCCCACGTAATTTGCCTTAATCAATTTAAAGTTATCACAACTCTTGGATTTTATTTTCAACATGGGAATTGGGAAGGCAATACATTTACTCTATCTTATAACTCAATATATTACCTACTTGTAATTTAGTATGTTTATAATCTTGAAATGAAGGAATTAAAATAAAATAATAATAATGATAAAATAACATATATATATATATATATATATATATATATATATATATATATATATTAAAGTATTGAATAATTAAAATAATATAACAGTAATAATAAATAAAATAAAATATATATATATATATATATATATATTTTTGTATGTAAAGCGGCGTTGTTAAAGTCTACGTAACATATATATATATATATATATATATATATAAAAGTAGAAAAAAAAAGAAATTTGAAGCTTATCAAAACAATGGATCATTCTAGATATATAGGCAACGTGTAATAAAGAGACCAGGTTGTTAAGATTTTTGTTAAATGCAATGATTACATTATTAAAGATTACTTAGATTTAAATGAAACTTTAGTTAGTTTAGTTACAAATCAATTAGATGCAATCATTAAAACTAGTCAAATACAATGGCCTATATATATATGTGCACATATGTATCAGAAGAAAGAAAACAAAGAACGCAAACGTAAAACACAATTCGAAGGAAAAGAACAGCGAGAAGGAGAAGGAAAGGGAGAGGAGAAGAGGAGGAGAGACAGGAAGGTAATGTTGAGAGATAAAAAAATTCTCTCATTGCTCTTATTTTTACTATTTCTTTTAAATATTTTTTTTAGTACCGTTACTTCGCCAATTTCTTTTCTTAAAACTCTTTTTTACTTGATGTTATTCCTACCTTTAGATTTATTATTTAATTCTAAATTCTTATTTTATTTTTATCTGTTTTTAATTTTAATTTTAAACTAATTGATTATTTGGTACCAAATAAATATTAAGAGAATATGTAAATTTTAACTGTATGTTACTGCTGTGAACTGACCCACAAAAATTTGAGATCAGATAGTTAGGGTAAAGGACGCCTTATCATGGCTTGAGCTTCGCCATACAGAACTTTTCACATGCAGAGGCCCATAAAGTTGGGTATTTAATTAGCTTCAGTTAAATATTATACAATTAATTATTTATCTTTATTCCTGCAATAATTTTATGAAATTACTTGAGAGAATGATATATTTTTCGTTAACACGGCTGGAATGGTTATAGTTATAAAACCTCAATATTATTGAGAATTTTCTCACGCTTTATTTGCTTTGCTAATCTTTCCAGATGCCTAACTTGTCTTTTAACGGAGAATGATGGAATATTACTGTTTATTTTTATAGTGACCGTTGGGAATACTATATTGTGATGGGAAACCAAGGAGCTATAACTGTATTTTATCGTGACATGGTGGAGACTTACGCATACACTTTGGACTAAAAAAGGATCATGTACTAGTGTGTGACTGGAAAATGTTATATATATATATATATATATATATATATATATATATATATATATATATATATATATATAGTAAAGTAATGTAATCTGACGTAGGGTGTAGGACTAATGTAAAATAATGATGTAGGTTGGGAAGTAGACTAAATGTGTATATATGAAGTTTGTACAAGTTTATGTACGAATCCACATCCATGTCTATAAAATGAAGGATGTTAATTCTAGTTAATTAATTTTCTTCACATACGTTAGCATAATCGGTTACGTTTTTATTTTATTCTATTATTCTTTTTCTTTTAGCTATAATCGTTTCCAGTTTAAAAAGAAAAGAAAGGAAACGAAGATAATTAAGTGCTAACATAACGAAAACAAAAGAAAATTAAATTTTTATAAAATAAAAAATGTTTTATTAATATTAAAATTTTATACTACGAAAACCACTAGGGTTAGCCTAGTGGTGTGGGGTGTGTGTGTTAGGAGTGGTGTAGTGTAGGGTGTTGTGTTCAATTCCTTGTAACCTCCAAAAAAAAATAAAAAATTATACTACGATATATATATATATATATATATATATATATATATATATATATATATATATATAAACTTAAAAGCAA